TTTTTTTAAAAAAAATTAAAAAAAAAAAAAAAAAAAAAAAATAATTAAAAAAACCAAAAAAAAAAAAAAAAAAAAAAAAAAATACTTACAAATAAAGATATAATAATAAAAAGGTAAAAAAGAAAATAATACATAAGCAAATACAAAGTTACATATATAAAAATAGTAATAAATATAATGTAAAACATTAATGTAATTTAAAAAAAAAAAAAAAAAACAAATATTTTTATATTCTTAAATTATTTTTTTTTTTTTTTTTTTTTTTTTTTTTTCTTATATAACTTTATCAGATTGCTTTGTACATCCTAAATAAATGTCTTTATTTTTATTTTTTTTTTTTTGTGATATTATTATATTATCTATATAATCTTGTCTATTTATTTCATGTTTTTTTTTTTTTTTTTTATTTTGTATAATCTTAGTTTCTAATGAACTATCATCAGAAAATTCATTAAAAGAATTATCAGTTAATGTTAAAATATTGTAATTCTTTTTTATATTTTTTTTTATATAAATATTATAATTTATTTCATTTTTATTAATAAATAAAAAATTTACATTTATATGCTTTGGTAGATTTAAAAATATATTTACTATATTTGTATAAAATTGTTTAACATAATAAATATCAATAGGAATATTCTTATATAACTTTTTGTAAATATAAGAAGTAAAAACAATTATTTTTTCTTTTAAAATAAAGAAAATTTTAAAAATTTTTTTCATTTCTAAATTATTTAAAATATCTATTTTATTCAATTTGCATTTCTTTTCATTTCTCTTTTTTGCTAATGATTTATTATTCATAATACTGTTATTGATTATTTTATCATAATCATTTTTCTCATTTTGTCCTTTTTCGCATATGTAACTATTGCTATATGAAGATGATGTATCATCGTTATTAATAGGAGATAATTTTCCTTTTTTTTTTAGTAAATTTATTTCTTTATTTAATTCATTTATTCTATTTATACAACTATTTATTTTATTATTATTGTTTTTCAATTCATTTTCTTCATTTTCTGACAGTTTTTCTTTTTGTATTAAAGAATTTTGAAATTCAATATATAAATTAAAATATCTATTTTTTTCTTCAGTTACTTCATTTAATAGATTATTTGTAATTTCTTTATCTTTTAATAATATTTCTACTTCCATTTTTAAATTATTAATAATACTATCCTTTTCTTCAACTAATTTTTCAATATTTATAATTTTTTCCTTGTGTGTGTTAATTATTTCTTCTTTATTAAAACTATATTCATTTATTATATTTTCTAAGCTTTTCACTTTTTCATTGTGTTTATTATTTAAATTATTTGTATATATCTCAATTTTAGCATAATTATCTATTAATTTATACAAATCATTTATTTTTAGTTCTTCCATGTTTATCTGTTCTTTCAATAATAAACATACGGAACATATTGACTTTGAATTCTTTTTTATATTATTTAGAATATCAATCACAAAATCAAATAACAAATTTTCTTTTTTCTCATTTATCTCATCAACTAAATTATACTTTCCTAAAAATATTTCTATTTTATTTATATCATTTTTATTAAATGCATTCGGTTCTTTATTACACATATTACTGTATTTTATTTTATTCAAATCGATAGATTGATATAATTTGTTATTAGTAATTATATTATCAACATTAGTATGGTTAGTAGTATGAAAATTGCACCCTTTCATATTATAATCATTATTATTATTATAATCATTATTATTATTATTATAATCATTATTATTATTATTATAATCATTATTATTATTATTATAATCATTATTATTATTATTATCAATGTTATAATATTTATCATTATTTATGTTATTATCGATTTGAATATCTGTGTTTTCATTTTTACTGTTTTCATGTTTAAAATCACAACTTTGAAATTCCTTCTTTAATGATAGGTTATATTTAATATATAATTCATTTAAATAAAATAAACAACAAATAAAAAAAATCATTATATTTTTTATTTCATACTTTTGCATTAAATCATTAAAATTATAAATTTTTCCTTTTTTATAATTTTTCTCATTAAAATGTATTTTAATATCATTATAATTCCTATTCGAATAATCTAAAGAAAAGTTTTTGTTATTATTATTTGTAAAACTATAATCATAAATAGTTTTCATTTTGTTTTCAACTATTTTATTTTTCATATAAAAGTAATCAACATTTTCATTATATTTACTATATTTATTTTGTTTTTCTAAATCAAATAATTCATGGTTTCTTTTATCATTTTCATTCACAATTTTATCTATATTACTAATTCCTTTGGTGTTATAATTGTGTCTTAAATTAAAATGAGTTAAATTAGAATTATTAGAATTAATAAAGTTATTAAAATTTTTTTGATAGTTGTTATATGAATTATAAATTTTATTTTCTGTTCTGTATGCTTCTCCTAAATAATATGCATTTAAAGAATGATAAAATATATGTGAATTATTATTACTTATTGTTTCGTTTTCTTTTTCGTTTAAATAATAATTTTCTTCGTTTTGTTCTGAATTATTTTTTATATAACTTATATTTTTATTTTCAACATAATTAAATAGGAATAAAGGAATATCATTAATTTTTTTTGTATTTAAAATAAAATTGTCTAAAATATTATTTTTATTTAAATAGAAAAAATTCTGAATAATAAACTTAACTTCATTTAATTCATTCCTTATTTTAGATATAAAATTAAAAATTTTATTAAAAAAAAAATGATTATGATATATATTTTTTTTTTTTTTTTTTTTTATTTTAATTTTTTCTTTTTTCTCTTTTTTCCTAATTAGCATTTTTTTATATTTCACATTAATATATGTACAAGTGCATATATGTAATTTAAATGGAATATGTTTAATTATAAAATTTTCAATTTTACAATTTTTTTTTTTTTCTCCTTTATTCAAATCTATAGTTTCATATAAATCATTAGATTGTTCAATATTAGCACTTTTAACTTCATTATCATCAATACTACTATTTTCAAACGATTCTTCCACTTCATTAGAATGTTTATTTTTTTCTGAAAAATTTCTTTTTATATCATAAATATTATAATGTTGATTTTCTTCCTCTTTTTCCTTTTCCTCTCCCATTTCTATTTCTATTTTTCTCTCTGTTTTTTTTTTTTCAAAAGTAAAAAAAATATTATTTTTTTCATCATAATTTTTATTATCATATCTCATGGAATCCTTTGTTAAATAATTCATATTTTGGTTTGCTGAAAAATTTTCATAATTAAAACCATTAGGATTATTTTTAATAAGAGATTCATTATTTTGTACAAATTTATCTTTATTTGTATTTTTCTTTTCAAACGAATTTTTTTTCAATGCATAATTATCATTAGAAGAATTATAATAATTTATGTATTCATTAAATATGTTTATTAATAATACATCAATATAAAAACCATTGCAATTTTCACAAATAATTACATTATAATATAAATTTTTTGAATAATCCTTTATTTTATTTTTTAAAATAAGAATATTATCATTAGAATTTGGACATTTTATATTATCCTCTTCTTCATAATAAATATCATAATTAAGAAAATGTTCTGTTGTTTGTATATACTTATTTTCAGTTTTAATAATATCCATATTATTATAATTATATATATTTTTTTTTATATTATTTCTCTTTATTTTATGTGATAACAATTTTTTTTTGTTGTAAGAAGGATAATCATAGTAATCTCCCGATGAGTAAACATTTTTATGATTAATATCATATTTGTATTTTCTATATATATTTTTTTTTTTGTTGTTTTGTTTTCTTTTTCTCTTTTCTAATTGTTCTATTTCTTCTATTTCTCTTTTTCTTTTTTTAAACATTTCTTTATTTTTTTGAGTGTAAACATTATCTGTATCAAAACTATCATCACTGTCAGAAGAATATTTTAATATATCTATTAAACATTCTACTTCTTTATTTCTATTATAATCCTTATATCTTTCTTTTCTATTCTTTTTTAAATATACTTCAGAAGAATTATTGAGGGAATCATTTTCTTTATAGCATTTTTTTTTATCAGATACCAACATATAATTTTTATCTCTATTTATAACTTTGTAATCTTTATTTTTACGTAGATAATCTTCATTATCATCATATTTGTAATTTCTGCTTTTATTGTACATATTTTTTTTTTTTCTTATTAAAGCCAAATTGTCAGAAGTGTTTGATTCTTTTAAAAAAAAACTACTTGATGTATTACTTGAATACACAAAAGAAGGATCTTTAAATTTTTTTTTTTTTTTTTTATATCTTTTGTAGATATTAGATTTATCACTACTACTATATTTATCTGTTACATATGAAAATATTTCCTTTGTCTGAGTTGAAGCATTCATATTTGTTATTGTTACTTGAATTTTTTTGTTTTTAGTAAGTTTACATTTCATCATTAATTTTTTAAAGTTAAAATCATTTATTCCATGCATACTCGTAATAACTTCTCTATCAATACTTTTTATTGAATCTGTTTGAGTGCCTTTTATATAATAATATTTTTCATTAGTTTGAGTATAGTTGTTTGTAAAATTTTTAATATTTTCATCTGTATTTATGCTTTTATCTATTAAATTAATTTTGTTTGTATTCATATAAGAACTAACTAATAATATATTGTCATTCGTATATATACTTTTATCAAAAACAATTTTCTCATCGGTATTTATATATTCACTAATTAAATTATTTTTCTTATCATTTAAAATGTTTTCATTAGTCTGTGTGAAATTATCTTTTTTTTCATCTTTTAAAATGTTTTCATTAGTCTGTGTGAAAATGTCTATTTTTTTATCATCTAAAACATTTTCATTAGTCTGTGTGAAATTATTTTTCTTATCATTTAAAATGTTTTCATTAGTCTGTGTAAAATTATCTATTTTTTCATTTTCTAAAACATTTTCATTAGTCTGTGTGAAATTATCTATTTTTTTATCATCTAAAACATTTTCATTAGTCTGTGTGAAATTATCTTTTTTTTCATCTTTTAAAATGTTTTCATTAGTCTGTGTGAAATTATCTATTTTTTCACCTTTTAAAATGTTTTCATTAGTCTGTGTGAAATTATCTATTTTTTTATCATCTAAAACATTTTTGTTTGTTTGTGCAAAATCTCTTACTTCTGAAATATTAACTTTATTAATATTATTATTATCTATCAAAAGATTATTATTAGAACTATTCTGAATATGACATGTTTTATTACCAATTACTAATTCATTATTGATATTATTATTGAATGATTTATTTAAATTACCGATATTATTATTATTATTATTATTATTATTATTATTATTATTATTATTATTATTATTATTATTATTATTATTACTACTACTACTAATATTATCTTCATTTAAAGTTTCTACATTAATTAAATCATTTAATAAAAATTCCATATTTTTTGATAATTTTTTATTTTTATTTTTCAACTTTTCAATAATTGATTTTAATGATTCATTTTCTAATTTTAATTCAGAACAATATATTTTATAATTATTAATATCATTTTCACTTTGCTGACTTTGATTTAATTCTAATTCACTTAAAGAAAAATTACTTTTACTTAAAATATTGATATTTTTATGAAGAGAATTATTATTATATTCTTCTCTGATTTTATTTTCGAGTTCTATACACAAGTTATGAATATTTTCATAATCCCTTTCTAATATGTTATATTTTTCCATTAATAGATTGTAATTCATATCCTTATTTTTAATCATTTCATTTTTCTCTTTTAATTCATTTATAATATTTAAATTGTTATCTTTCAATTCATTCAATTCTTTTTTTAGTTTATCATTTTCTTCTATTAATTTTTTTAACTGATTCTTTAAAATATCATTATCATTATCATTATTAATAGTATTTGTATTTCTATAACTTTCATTCATATAATTAAATGAATCATATTTACTATTCTGATAAAAATTATCAAAGTTTTTTACTTTTTCTTGCTGATTACTAGAAATTATCCGCAATAAATCATTTAATTCATCACTTAGTTCTTGACATTTGTTTTTATATTTATCTATTTCTTCTTTCTTATTTTTATTATCTATATTTATAACCTCTAATTCTTTAGTTATTTTTATAAATTCTTCTTTTTCCTTTAACAATTCTTCAATTTGTTTTTCATTTTTTCTTACATGAGTAACATATGTTTCTTCTAATTTTTCTATTTCTTTTTTTAATTCTTCTATTTTTATATTTTGTTTTTCTATAAAACAATTTGCATTATTTAGTCTTTTTGTTTGTGCATGTAAAACTAATGAGCATTCTGTTTCCTTTTTTAGACTAATTTCTAATTCATTTTCTAAACAGCTAAAAAAAATATTTTTTTGGTTTTTTAAATTATTTATTATATTATTTAATTCAATTATTTCACTACTTTTTAATAATAATTCCTGTCTCAATTGCTTATTTTCAATTTCAATTATATTTAATGATTCTAAAGAATTATTTTTGTTGAAATTATTATTTAATTCATTTATATATTTTTCAATTATTTTCTCATATTCTTCATTTTTTTTTTTTTCATTTTCTAAATAACAGTTTCTTATTTGTAATTCTGATTTTATTTGAAAAATTGTATTTTTATAATTCATTATATCATTTTCAACAACATCATAAATTTCTTTTATATTTACATCTTCCTTATTTAAATTACACTCATTTAAAATAATTATATTATCATTCTTATTTTTACTAATCCCACTTACTGAATTATTACTATTCATTATTGTTTCATTTATATTAGAACTTGAATTTTTTTGTGAATATATTATGTAAGTGCTAGTGTTACTTCTACTCTTGTTATTTTCATTAAGTGAATATTCTTTTTCACTACCTACTAAAAATAAATCATTTTCTTGACTTTTTTTATTAGAATTATTATTTGTAATATAGAATGTTTCATTATTATTTGTATCTAATTTATTAAAATTTCCTTCTTTATTTTTAAAAGTATTTTCTCCTCTTTTAACCGAGTTATAACTTATATTATTTGTATTTTCATTTAAATCGTTTTCATTATATTTTAAATTATCTTTGTTTTCACATAAATTATTCATATCATAAAATGAATTATTTACAATATTATGCAAATTGTTTAAATTAATTTCGTTATGATTCCTTTCACATATGTTTTGATTTATGTCATTAATGTTTCTAATTATTAAATTATCATTATTTAACAAAATATTTTTATCATTATATATATTTATATTATTAATAACCCTGTTTTCATTAATTAAGTCATCTTTGTTAGTTATTTGTTTTTCATTATTTTCACTCAAACTTTTTTTTTCATTAGTTTTATTATTTTCTATATTTAAAAAATCATATACATCTAAATCATTTTTTTTTTGAAAAGAAACATTTAAAGCATTTGTATTGTAAACATTTTCCTGATTAACATCATATATATCAGAATTTATGTTATTATAAATTATATTATCATAATTTGAAATGTCATTATTTGAATTTTTATTAAATAAATTTTCATTCATAACCTTTTCATTAGAATCTAAGAAAGAACTAGTGCAAGACATCCCACAATCAATTTCTTGAGGTCTTTTTATATCATTGATTAAAATACTTTCATAAGATAAATCAAAGTTTTGTATATTTTCATTTAGTTTATTTTTTATGTTATTTTCATCATTTAACTCTTGTAATAAATTAATTTTATCCATATTATAATAATTCCTACTTTTACATTTTTTTTTTTTTTTTTTTTTTTTTTTTTTTTTTTTTTTTTTTTTTTTTTTTTTTTTATCAAAAATTGAAACTTTTTTTTTAAAAAAAGAAAAAATATTTTAAGAGAAAAATAAAAAAATACATTAATATTTTATACATTTCTAAGAATAATATTGTATTTTGCACCTAATATTTGTATATATAATAATATTTCACATGTAAACATATATAAACATGATACATATATATATATATATATATTTTTTTTTTTCTCAAATTATTTTAAAATTATTAAAATGCGTGCAAAATTTATATATTCATTAAAAAAAATTTGCTTATTTTCTTAGAATACTATTATTTTAATGACAATTTATAAATATAAAAATTTACATATTTTTTTTTTATATTATTTTTCTAAAAAAATAATATTTTAAGTATTCTTTCATAATTAATAAGAAAATAAATTTTTATTTTTTTTTTTTTTTTTTTTTTTTTTGGGAATGGAGGGTATTTTTTAT